TTGTGTCGTTACCGTTTGCCATTTCAATTGGAACGGACGGCTTGTTCCTTTAATTCCCACACAAAATGGCAAATGGCCAGAGGATGAATTTCGATTTTGCATTTTTTTTGGTCATGGATGTCATTTTAGTTTCAACGAATTTCGTTTGCAATTATTTTGGTCAGTGGGTCGTGTTAAGGGAATCGTGGACATCTTGGTCGAGTTTGTGTTTTTTTTTTTTTTTTTTTGAGAACTAAAATTTTGTGAGTCATTTTGAGATTTGGCCAGTAAGTAATAAAATTTTGTAATTTTTTTAGGTGTTGCGAAGTTATATTTTTTCCAACTAAATAATAATAAATAAAAAATAAAATAATATAGGAATTTATGTTTACACTCCAGTCAAGTTAATCTTGAAAACAGGAATATGCTTTTAACTGGAATTGCAGTGGAGAATAGCAGCGATTTTTGCCTTTCTAAAACAAAGTCCGCTCTTGTTAATCTGATGTTGGAAAATATTTGTGAAAAAAAAAACTACCAACTTGCCACACTCAATTACCCTATTTTATAATTTTCTTCTGATTTAATAACAATTTATTTAATTGATGTATGGATTTATGGTTAGAGATTGTCATATTGAAATAGTCTCAGATTACTAACATTAAAATAACTCTACGTATATAAGTACGTGTGTGTGAGTTCGGTTATCAATCTTGCATAAAACTTAAACCAATCACTGATAAATTGTTAATTACCTTTAACGCATTAACTTTTTCCTTCACAAAAAAAAAATATATAAAAATTAGGCCAGCTTATTGCTAATTTCTGTCGAAGAAAAAAAAAAAAAAAAACAAAAAACAACAAACTCCCTAAAATTGTAATTTTATCAATACACAGACACACACACACACACTTAAGCGAAAATACACACATGTGTTTAGTGGAGATCTATAATGTAAATTGTTATAGACACAGCTATGAAATATGGTCAATATGCAATAATGATAATCATTTTTTTGTTGTCTTAGTTTCTACTTTGCCATGTAATGGAGGTTATTACGTTTGCATTTCTCTTGGAGGCTTAGCTAGTTAAAATAAAAGGCTGAAGTTGGTACAGGCAAACTATAGAATGCACTACTATAACAATTGTCTGATTATTCTATGATTGATTTTTATGATTATTCTATGATATTTTTTTTTTATTTAAAGGGGGTAAAGTAATACCCAATTTTGCCCCTTCCAATTCCATACATATGTACGATGAAAATTTTTGGACGCAATAGATAATATAAACCCTCTGTATACATATGGATGACGTTATATTTGCATTGTACTTGAACAAAAAATTAAAATTTTGGATCCAAAATTTAGGGGTATTTCCCAAAAGTAATTGAATTCCTAAAAATTGGTGAGGAGGTAGTTTAGTACCAGAAGACGGAAAAGGACATATGAAACTATTTATTCCGTAAAGGCATAAACTTGAATCCATTGTATTAGTCAAACGGGTGAAGGTAGAATCCTGAAATTTTATATGAATGTCGCTGATAAGTTGTACGATATACAGGATAAGATAAAAAACTGCAACAAATTCAAACGCCATAATTTTTAAATTTTTTTCTTTAAATGTTATGAAATGAAAGCAAAAAAATGTCGGAAATTTGGAATAAGTTTAGACTTGTTCGAATTGGTCACCTTTGGCACGAATTATGGCCTTTAAACGGTCAATGAAATCGTCACATGCTGTCCGAATGTTGCTCTGCGGTATTTTGGCCCATTCCCGGTGAAGCGCATGCTTGAGGTGATCGACACTTTGGTATTTTTTATTGCCAACCTTGCTTTCCAAAATACTCCATACACAATAGTCCAACGGATTGGTAACCAGAGATTTTGAGGCCATTGTGCGCTGGAAATGAAGCGAGGAACCTCATTATGTAACCATTCTTGAGTGGCGCGTGCTGAGTGCAATGGTGCTGAGTCCTGTTGGAATGTCCAAGATCTATGGCCAAAATGTTTTCGTGCCCAAGGCTTTAATACACCCTCCAAAATATTTTCGCGTTAATATTCGGCATTCATTCCGATGCCACGGTCGATTACTACTAGCGGAGAGCGGCAAACGGCTGTTATTTGCGGCCCACACCGTCACCATGACCGGCGATTGAGATCTGGTGGCGAAGGTGCCACGATCATTTTGTTTGTTTACAAACTGCTGGAAAACGAATGTTTTCTCATCGGAGAAAATCAAATTCGGCAGTTCACCACTTTCGGCCAAGCGTAGCAACTCTTTAGCTCTTTTTCGGCCACTGCGGCGCGGGTGTCGATCAATTCGCTTCTGTACTTTTCGAACCATTTCTGCTGATGTTGCTGTTTTCTTCCGTCCACGTCGGGCCACGCTACCAGTATCAACGAGCGATGGCAGGACACAATAGATTTATTCACACTTAAATGCTGGAGTGCTCTAACGATAGCCACTTGTGGTTTTCCAGCCAAATATAAAAAATCATACTATCACGTGTGAATTCCGTCACGAATAACTTTTTCTCTGCAAAATTCTCACCAAAATGCTTTTGTACCCTTGTAAACAATATAATGAGCTGTCACTAAAAAGGTCGATGAAACTTTTTTTATCCAGGACTTTTGGACCTTGATAAAGAGTTTTTAAACATTCGTTGAATTCTGGTTAGTAAATCCTTGATACAATTCCAGAAAAACTTATCAATTTTTGCCAAGAAGACCTTGAAAAAAATTAAAAATCAAAAATCAAATCTATCAACACAAGATCTGCTATGAACAAAATCGGAGTACTCCTTCTGACACCTTCCCTTGTAGGGAAGGGGTTAAAGTTTTGAATAATTATAACTCTCATAAAACGCGAAAAAAGAATCCGATTCTCTTCTAATTTCACACACCCAAATATCTCTTCCAACAAAAGATATGGAGTAAAGATTATAGATATCGCCTCACTCTTTGTGATATCTCTCCCACAAACAAACTTCGATTTTTCGATCTGGAATTTTTAAAGTTTTCTTATAAATATACATGATTTTTTGTTCGGACGTCAATATAAAATTTTCCTAAAAATCCATAATTTTTGATGTGGGATGGGTAGTCAATTGAGCCTTGGGAAAAAATGTTTCCAAAAAAACCACGATTTTTTATCAGGAGATTTTAAACCTCAACCGTTAAACACGATTCCTTTAGTAAAAGGTTTTAAAAAATACAGGCATTTAGATAGAACTTGAAAAATTATATTAAAAATGTACTCATTTTTTTTGAAATGATCTTGAAATACCAATGAAGTTTGGTTAGAAGATTGTTGAAAAATATTTTTTGAGAAATCTACAATTTTTTCCAATAAGAAAATAAAAATGATAAAGAAAATAAAAATGATAATAATAAAAAATCAATGAAATACAGATATGACTAAAATCCTAAATTTTTTCATGAGGCTTTTGAAAAATGTTTCAAAATGCAGTATTTTTTAATATGACCTAAGGATCCACGATTTTGTGAAAACTTTCAAAATTAACAATTTTTTTTTCGTAGAAGATTCACGGACTTTGGTCAGGAGAACCAATGAACTTAAAAAACTATCCATCAGAAGGATTTGAAAATTGAGGAATTTCGATCCGAAGGTTTTGAAAAAAATTGCTTAAAACTTCAGGAATTTTTGTTCAGGAAATTTTTTAAGAAATCGGCGATTACAACAAAAACACCTGTTCACCTGTGTGTTCTACTTAAAAGAATAGGATGCACATTTGATATTCATAATGTATACCAGAAGGAATAAACTTTAATATCCCAGTAGAGAATGTCATCTAATTTCGGTTAAAATATTGGGATGCACAAAGATTGGCAAAAAACCGCTGATAGTCACGAGAAATGAGAACCCGAGGGAGTAAAGAAGTATATACAATTTGCTTATTAAATCGAATATTAACACAAATATTTAGATTCGTCGTTATTAGGATTAAGACTAAAAAAAACACCTTGTGGGGGATGTACCAAAAATGTTGGTTGATATTGTCTATTTTTTAGCTTGGCCTCATTTTGGTGAGGTTGTTCTTATCCGCATCAAATATACCATTATTTTTTAATTTTGAGCAATTCGCTATTGAAATTCCTGGTTTGTCCCATCTTCAAAGGTGATAGTAGGAAATGTAGCATTTTGTAGTATTTTTATATATGGGAGAATATACAAATATGGGAGAACATAAATCTGTAGTCCAGATTTCCATGCATAGGGTACAATCGCTATCTGTAAATACAAACACCACCAACTCCAGTGGTTAGTAACACTCTAGCAATCAACCCCCTCTTCAAAATGCAATTGGTTCAAATTTATAAAAACTAAAAAAAAGAAACAGTTCGCAAACAATAGAGTGTGAATGTGGAGCTTTCAAGATTGTTGTTGGTTTTGTTAAACTATTTTTCTGTTGTTATTGTTATTTTGTAAAAAAAAAATAAGTTTAGTTATATTCGAATGCACATATTATGGCCGACGTCGTTGTTGCTGTTGGTATGTTTCTGCAGCGCTTCATTTGTGAATGTTATGTTTTGTCTGCGTCTGTCTGACGGTGCAACAGTTGCAGCTACCACCATTACCACCACCGTTCGGCCATACATTTCGATTTACCCCTTGTTGGTGGACACACACACATGTATTCGTACATGCATAGCGATTCACTGTTTACTGCTGTTGCTGCTGCTGTTTGCTTACCAGGTTTTTTTTTTGCCTTTTCCACCGTTTGGCTGATGTTTGCCGACTGCATGGATAAAGCCAACAATTTCTTCCTAAATATATAAAAGCAACAAATTTTCATTTGAACAACATTATTCCGTGGTGGAAATTCATTTGGTTAACAACGCTTCTTGTTTGCTAACAACGAACGAAAGAAAAAAACTCAAAAAAAAAAACAAAAAAAATCCAAAACAGATCAGCTTCGAAATAGTGATCTCCGTTACAAAATAGTTTCAATTTTTCAATTGATTTAAAAAAAATATATATTTAAAAAAAAATTATAAAAATGGTCCTTAAGGTGAGCGGTGGTGATGAAAGTGCATAAGGAATATTGAAATTATCTTAAAAAGGACTTGACAAATAAATGAACTAAAGTGTCTCAAAATGAAGAAAAAAATAAATTTAAAAAAAAAACAATGGAAAATAAATAAAACTGAAAAAATGCAAATTAAAACAAAAGACTTAAGACACGAACTTGGTGCCATGGAAATAATGCAAAGATTAATAAATTCAACAAAATTCTTGGAGAATAATTATTTCAAAAACAGAACACATGAAATATATGAAGGATACGAATTGGAAATGAAACGTATTTCAAAATCAAATATTTAAATTTCGTGAAAAAAACTATGAGCAATGGACGTTTAATTTAAAAAAAAAAATAAATTAAAAAATATTCTATAAGTGCTAAAATATTAAAATCCATTTTTCCTGTTCTCAACAGTTTGTTATCTTCGCTTCCGCTTTGTGCCTTACCTTGGCCTATCCCCTGGATCATCATTACTACGAAGGTGGCCACGAACAGGCCTACGAAGTAGCACATGATTATGGACATGGCCATCAGATCGAACGTTTGGGTGAGGGCTATGGCCATGAAGAACACCACGAAGAGCATCATGAAGATGAACATGTTGATTATTATGTAAGTGTGGTATTAGCTGGTGAAATTCTAAAGGATACGATTGCTTGCCTTGTGGTTTACTAATGTGTGTGCTTTTATTTTAGGCACCCCCCAAATACGCTTTCAAATATGGTGTAAATGATTACCACTCCGGTGATGTTAAATCTCAACATGAGACTCGTGAAGGTGATTCCGTAAAGGGTAAGTATGTCGAAGGGAATGTTTGAAATATTGAAAATGTTATAACTTGCAGATAAGAAATACCTTAAAGTTAACAGGTGCAATTTACCTTGGAATAAGCGTGCGGGTTGCGTTTAAATTTCAGGAGTTTAATTTTTAAAACTTCCAATCCAATACTATACATTTCGACAAATTTTGTATATTTTTGGAAACTATTAGGAACGAATTAATAGTAGAGAGATTAGGAAAGAATCTCTTGTTACAAATAATCCTGAGGTTAAGTCGAGTATATATTATATAATTCTGGGTCCTAGCCTCTAATTAAAATTACGTTTGTAATGATAGTTTGATACTAGGATCAAATCAGAAATAAACTGGGAATGCCAATCAATATTTTTTATTGAAAAATGGAACAAGGATTACGTTTCTTCAGACATCTCCAAATCCATTTCGTAGAAATATGAACTGCAGTAAGGGCTTACCAAGCGCAGTATTGGAAAGAACAAATATATCTGATTTTCTAAAACATGCCAAGGAACCCCTCAAATGAAGTTCTACGAGAAAACACAAATTATAGTCTAATTGGTATTCCTAAAAATCTAAAAAAATCAGCATTAGCGTTGCAGGATCAAATTGCCAGTACACTGGATTTTTTTTAAGTTGTCTATCTATTATGAGACAGAAAATACCAAATAATTGTTCACACAGTTAAAGATCCAATTATATGTAAAAATTTCAAAATCAACCTTGAGCTATTTACGCCTGGGTATGTTTTACCTATTAAGGTTTAAAAATATCAAACTATAGCCACTTCGGCTATTCGGTATTTTAAAAAACTTAATAGGTTAGGTCCTTATATGGCACTATGACAAAATATGTAACGATGTTGGCAAATTTTCGCTGGTCAAATATTAATTCAATGAGAACCCAAATTGCCAAATTACAGCCGATTCCGTTGAAAAATGAAACCAAAATTATTGAAATACTAAACATCTGGAGTGACTGTTTCATGGGTGCTACATCAAATAATCCACCTAAACTGAACATTTTTTTTCTTCTGGAAGGATATGTCTTAAATACCAAATTACAATTGATTTGATTGGTAAATACGTCTGAGCTCCTAAAATACATTTTATCCGAAGATGGGTGGGCATCTATTCGGCCAGATAATATTCTATTCGGAAAGGCCAGAAAATATGGACCAATATAGTTCATTTTTGAATATGATCTGGATTCGGTTTCGAATATTACGTTCTCCATTGAGGGTAGGAGAGCATATCTTTTGGTAAAAATATTTGGAGGGGCGAAGAATGGGCAAAACCGAAACCTAACCTTTCACCCAATACCAAATTTATCGATAACATTTAGTACGCATATTCAAAATAATCTACATCTCTTCATTCTAGACACCAACAGTGATCCAAAAATAGTACCATTTAGTCCTTTTCAAAAAATATAGCACACATTTTCAAATCCACCACCAAATTCCAACAGAAACCTAAATATCAAATTTCGGGATTCCAGCTCCATACATCCACTCATTTTATTACACATTTCCAAAACCAACTCCATTTCCCAATTCTAGACACTAACAGTTAACGCATTAACAATTACAGCTCTATCCCTTCACCCAATGTAAAATTTAGTTAAATTTAGTACTTTTCAAACAAATCTCAACCTCAGATACCAACAGTTTCCTAAATATCAAATTTCAGAATTTAATATCCATTCCTTAATACCAAATATAGTTCCATTCAGTACTTTTCGTACAATTACAGTACACATTTCCGACACCGCTTGTATATGTCCATGCTACCCATGAAGAGCGACCCTAATACCAAATTTCAAACTTCAAGCACTATATGTACACCCAGTACGAAATTGTACCAAATATGGTACTATTTAAAACTTTTCGAACACATACAATACGTATATCCAAAACCAGCTACTTCTCTCAACCAAAGACACTAACAGTGATATCAATATCAAATGTCTGGACTACAACACTATCCCTTCACTTCAATACCAAATTTGGTTCAATTTAATCCTTTTCGTAGAACAACTTCCATATCTCAATCCTAGCTACAAACATACACCTCAACAGCAATTTTAGGAATTCCAGCCTTTTCCTTTGCCCTATGCTCTTTGTACTTTACGAACAATTATAGTAAACATTTTCAAAACCATCTTCTTCTCTCAACCACAGACACCAACAGAGACCTCTATATCTATCCCTTTACCAACTATCTAATTTAGCACTACTTGTAGTGCTATTTGTACGAACTACCTCCATATGTCAGGCTATACATGAACTATCTGCTCACCCAATATAAAATTGTACCAAATATAGTACTATTTCACACTTTTCGTGTACTTGAAGTTCACATTTCCAAAACCAACCTTTTATCGCAAGCAAATTACCGCATGGTACCATTTTAGAACTTTTCTAAATCTTAAAATTCCAATTTTCAAAAACTGTGACTCTTATTTAGAATTTCAGAGTTTTAGTTCACTCCGTTTGTCAAAACGAAGTATTAAATTTTTGGTACATTTTCCTACCCTTTTAGTATGAATTTCCCAAAACCCATCCTTGTCACACGCCAACGCACCGAAACGGATTGTTTTCATTTTTGAAATAAAATACCCAAAAAAAAAGAATCGCTGACTTGTTTCGCAATTTATCTGAGAAGTATTGAAAATTTAACCTTTGTAGGGGTAGGTACCAATGGGTCCATGTAAATCGTGTTCACACCAGATCTTGTGTTGGAAGAAATATTGGGATCCATTTTGAACCACCCCTTCCCGTTAACACACATATTGGGATGAATGAAATTTAGAGAGAATCGAATGCTTAAATGTTCAAGATTTTGATCCGTGGGGAGGGAGAGGTATCAGAAGTATGGGTTAGATATATTTTCTTGTGTTTACACGCGCCCATCGGGTGTTTATAGGAATATTGGGACGTGTCGAGTTTGAAAGAAATAGGATGCTCATTTAGCGCTTTATGAGAGATATAAGTATTCGTGATGTTGACCCTCTGTGAGAGAGGACCCAGAATTAGTGGTCTGACCTATCTTATCTTCATTCCAAACCTGGAGTTGTTATTAATTGGACTACTATTTAAAATTTTATAAGCGTTGAGATTATTAACAGTTTTGACCATTTTCGCACCTGAACAAGCCAAGATACAAATATTACGATTTGCAAAGTTTGAACAAAATTGTTCTATTGTTCTTGTTCTATGGGGCAAAGTGTTTTCTGTTGAGACTTAAATCTTTTGTGGGGGAGGTACCAGAAGGAGTGGGCCGATGTTGTCCATTTCCGAAATCGATGTAAGTTCGAAAATTATAGTACAATATACTAAGTTCGGATCAAATCGGATGTTTCCTTCGAGAGTTATAGTGAGTACCACTCAGGCGGCCGTACGGACACCCCTAGATCAACTCAAAATGTCCTGAAAGAGACCCAGAGCCACCATTAAAAATCGATAAGTTGCTGTATAATATCCCTCTTCCTAATTTCTTTTTTATTTAATGTTTAAATTATTAAAGAGCTGCTGTAGAGGTTGTAATCTTTTGCGAGTTTCAAACATCGGATTTTAACAATTTTTTTTAGAAAATGAGAAAATAGTTAGAACTACAAATTCTTTTAGCAAAGTACATGGGCTATTACGGGGTTTGATAATGTTGCGAGCAAAAAAAAAATAATAATAAGGGTAGAACTATGTTTGATTCATAATTTGAAGACAAGAATTCATTTTTAGTTTGATTCTCGAAAAGGATTAAGGGTCCGCAAATAGCATTTACTATTAAATTTTAAGTTGTGAATACTCCTGTATCTTTGAATCAGATTCAGCCAATAACTTGTTAACTGTCAGTGAAAAACCGCCAACAAGGGAATAAACTACGTTAACTCTCTAAATAGCTAATTATAAACATTTAAAAGCGCATTTCTTTGTTAATAACATATTTTGTAATTGTTGCGAAAAATACGAGTCATGTAATTTTTCTGCAAGTCAAGTAACACTAATGACTTTTTTGTTTTGGGCAATAATGTTCACGTCTTGGCAATTATGTGTAACTGTAGCAGATCGATGTGAGGCTTTTTTGTTATTGTTTATTTTTTTGGTTAAATTACAGCAATTACATTAAACAATATTTTGTTTTGAACATTTATTTGTTTTAATAATTCAAAGACATGCTTTTGTTATGGCTAATCTCTTTTTGTCTGTTTGTTGTTTTTCTTTTTAGGTCAATACTCTTTGGTTGAACCTGATGGCTCGATTCGCACCGTGGACTACACTGCCGACAAGCACAATGGCTTCAATGCTGTTGTACACAAAACTGCTCCCATCCATCATCACGAAGAGGCCCACGAACATCATTATTAAACGAATGCGACACACACAGACACTCTCTCTCTCCCCCTCCCCCTACTCATCCATATGCAATAATTAATCCCTTTAAGGATAAGTTAAAGTAAATCGTGATTATAAATTAATATCTTGGACCTCAAACCCCCTTCCTCGTGGAGGCTGGTGGAGGCCATAGCTGATAGTTTATGTTAGCTTAAACTGCCAAGATTTTGTTTTTTTAGTGAATTGTCTTCTTCTCAACTTGTGTTTGTTTTTCGCATATCATCGACTCTGCTCTGTAAGGCCAAAAAATGAAGTCAATTTTTTTAATAGCGATGCTCCTTTTTTTAGTATGCCATCATTCATTCATCTAAGCGCCCATACTCATCAGTACCCAACTCATACTTGTCTAGCCTTATCTTATTTATAGAACGTGTTTATTTTTTTTTTTGTATTAATTTGTTATTTAATTATTTGTGTGTATTTTTCCTCGATTTTTTATTATTACTTCTGTGATAGCAAAACCTGCTAAACTGACTCTATTCATTAACCTCATCGTTGCCTTGAACTGAATTTCTAATTAATAAGGATTTTTACTTTGAACTAATCAATGGACTCATGCAAGCAATGCGTATGCCTTGTGATTTAATTTTACGCTTCTCTCCAAACTAACCCAAAAATGACCTCTATGACCTCGAATAGTCCTTCTTTCCTCTTAACTCATATCATAGACTATTTCTAGCTGTTAGAATTTCATTTAATCATCATTTTTTTTTTCATTATTGTATCTAATCCATACTTACCCATTAACATTCATAATTTTTAGTCTTGTTTATCTGAAAGAAAGAAATTGTAAAGCATTGCATTAATTATTGATGATTTCCTATAATAATATAATAAAGAATGATAAATAAATGTTACATTTTGTATGTATTTCTTTGGGCAATTCTGGGAGGATATATCGGAAATTATGGGTAAAAATTGTTAAATAAATACAACATAACTCTCTTACGCTAACTCCGTTTATATAAATATTAAAAAAATAAGTCAGAAAATATAAGCCATGTTGCTGACTGATATATATCCTTAGAATATGATCATATAAGCCAAAAGGTCAATATATATGGCTTCATTTGGATAAATTTCTCGCTGATCATTAAAGAATCTAATAAAGATTTTTGTTTTTTGCAAAATTTTCATTGTTTTTTGGTATAACACTATGCAACACGAAAATTGTTAACCATATTCTAACACCACAACATGATAGAAGACCAAAAAGAGAAGACACGTGCTTAACTGTTTTTCCCTATCTCATCAAATGTTGCTGTTATGGACCCTAAAAGTTTGGGGCTTGATTCATTTTGTGAGACTCATATCTTCCAAACAGCTTAGAATATTTATCTCTCTGACACAAATCTTTGCTATTGCAGACTTCACCTTAAACAAAATGTTTAAATAAATTATCAAATGCGGGGCCGACCATGTGATACGCTACAAGATATTGGAAAATCCCCTTAAGTTCAATCCCATTTCATTTTGTCCTATATTTACGCCCCCTATCGTGATAATCGACATTCAAAATAAATTTTCAGACAAAAGTGCTGGGGAATTTTGCCCGCTAAATATTATCTGATTGTCATACAAAATTGTAGTCTTCGTTCCTGTCCCGAACTCCAAACATACGCAAAATTCCGTCTCTATTGGTCTTCAATTGTGTCTCATAGAGATATATTTTCAGCCTTTTCTTATTTTCAAATATGCGCTGGTTTATGCAATTGTTTGTATTTTTTTTTTCATATAAAAGAGTTATGGTATATTGCACTAGCAAAATATTATCCGATGATCATCCAAATTAGTAGGCTTCTGTCCTGCACTTAGCGCAAGTCCCATACTAAACGTAGATTGTTCAGGATTTTTTTGTTTTTGGTCCATTTCAACCCCAAAATATATAACGATTATCTTCAAAAGCAATAGGCTTCTTTTCTGACCATAAGCTCACTTCCATGCCAAATTTCGGATCGGGCCATAATTGTTACCTGTTATGTAATTTAAAATTAAAATGGACAAAGGGACGGACTGTCATACATTGCTAGATCAACTCAGATCGGCGGGATAGGAAGATCCATATATAACATCCCATGTACTGGGTCAATATTTCGAGGTGTTACATACTTTTTTTTTAGCCCAATCCAAATAATGCAAAATTTTTATAATTATTTCTATTTTTCCATCATAGTTGGTAATAGTTTTAACGGTTTCATATCTATAGACTGAAACCTGAGAAGTATTTCACCTTTGGCAATTTTTACTGAAAAATTGGTTCACGTGTTCACCTCTATACCTAAGGCTTATACAAATATTACTATATGAAAAGTCCAGAATTTTTCAAACATTTTGTAAATGAGGTTTCAGAAGGAGTTTACTTATATTTCCTATATCTATGACGGATGTACCATTGTTAGAAACAAATATATGAAATCTCAAGGAATTCGTGTACCGTTACCAGTATTTAAAATATAAACCTATTAAGTGGGAGGTACCAAAAGATTTTTTAGGGTCTTGAATTCCAATTTAGCGACTTAATAACTAGATTGATTAGAAAGGACACCCAGAAGATAAGTACCAAGTATATGGTATCAAAGGGCACATGTCGATATGGTTTTTGACTCCTGTCTCTTTTGATGGTACATGTCTAAATGGGACTAAATTTAATACAACTTGGGTTTGGGTGAACCTAAATTGTCGGAGTTCTAAAATTTGTTCATATAGGTTAACGTTTTCCTATAACACCCAACTTTCGGTGATTCCCGATATCTCGTATTCTAATGACTTTAGCCACATTTTTCAGGGGAATCGTTTAAAGTTCGTGGTTTCTGTGCTGGAATAGGTAGATTATTTCCATTATCTCCGAATATTTATTTTTTTTTGGTGATTTTAGTTCACGTTCTTTTAAAAGATTTTTTGTTTTAATTTGAAAATCGCTGTAGATAACAACCAATTAGCAGGAAATCGGTACCATTAACATTACGGTATTTTTAAAACTTTTTACCAAACCATTCCGTTTTTACCAAACCATTCGTTGCTGTTTCTTTAATTTCTAAAGGTTTTATTTACCTCATGGAGGAGGGTATTAAAAGTAACACGTGTTTACTTGTTTTTGAAGGACCTCCAGCTTCCAAATTGTTGATTTTTAAGATTTATTTTATGATTTATTCTTGTTTAGAGACTTTTAACGATCAAACATTTAAATTTTCAAGGACTATCTGAAATAATGAAATTTTTAAGAATTAGAGGATATTCATTCCAAAGAACGCATATTTTCAAGGAAATTTTAAAAAATTCTAGTCAAAAAATTAATTTAATGAGTGGAAACCCATTAAAAATTGAAGCACTAATTACCTTATGTCGGAAAACTAGCCTATATAACATATATAAGTGTTCATAGGTTCCAAATTTGTCGGCAAACCGGGTGAATCTTTCTAATTTTTTTAAATAAATCTGAGTCATTTCACTTTGTCTTTCTTCTTAGGTTAATTTTGTTTCTAAGAAAATATAAACATTTGTTTTAAACAAGTAAGCAAAGGCTATAGACGTGCGCGACCGACCATGCGATTCCCTACAACACCACAAAATGTTAGAAGCACCCTTATGTCCAAATCCATTGTGGAAGATTTCGCTTTTGATATTATGTTACGGAATCGATCCAGCCATTCTTGAGATATAAGCATTCTAGGTAACATCCCCTTCCTTTGTATATACACATTGTATATATTTCGTTTTATATATCCGATATATTTACTATCGGCATCTACGCAACGGTCAGAATTGACTTGTTCGAATATTTGCGATTTCGCCGGGATTAAAAATTCAACCCCTAAATATTATGTAATCAACTCCAAAAGTAATAGGCTCCATTTTCAATTTCGTGAAGATCGGGCCATAATTACGACCTGTAGAGTGATTACAGATTAATATGGACAGACGGACATACAGCTCGGCGAGATAGGAAGATCCATATATACTTTCCTATGTCGAAAACCAATATTTCGAGGTGTTACATAATTTTTGGCCCAATCAAACTTATAATACCCCCAACACATAGTGTTGTAGGATATAATTATGTGTAGCATACCCACGTTCGCGCCACATTTTCTATTACGACACATGTCAAAAATATTGGATTTTTTAGTGCGGCGATGTGCTCACCATCGTAGGGACCAAATTATGTATTTTTTCATATTACATAAAAATATCGAGTTCATTCATTCTGGCATCTTCCCCATAAATAGTTCACAGCTTTTCAGTCAATATATAAAAATTCATAGGGTGTGACTTCCTGCATTTGTTTATAAAGAGTTTAGTAAATTATTTTGGTGATGTCAAATTTTAATTCTGAAATTACTAGGGTTGTCCAAATATTAATTGCGTCACCGGCGTTTACGAAACTTATACATTAAATTGCCACCATTTTATTAATTTTCCTGTAAATCTTTCGGCGCTGTAATCAAGTGGCCGGATTCATTCGATCTTAAATCTTATTGCCTAATTTAATATTATTATTATTTTTTTTTAAAACGTTTTTTGGTCCAATACGAGTGAAGTGAACATTTTATTTTCTTAAATATATCATACTCTCAACATTTTGAAAAAAAAAATCATTTTTTTATCATTATCAACTACCATTTGTTAAAATTAATATTTTGTCATTGATAATGTCATTGTTAGCATCGAACTTCAAAATCATTACATATGCGACCTCGTCATACCGGTCAGTTTGGCGGTAAAACCTGGAAACCATCCAGCTTGTCTTCATTGCACGCACACATGCACGCCAGCCAATGCAATGCGTCTCAATCAAACAGCTAAAGCAACCACGCACGCATGTTCACACCTTGTGTTGCCACACAACAAACCATTACCTGAATTGAGCGAGAGCCAAGTTGTTTAATAAATTACCAAAAAAATTAAACTGCAACAACAAAACGTTTCAATTACTCTTTAACTTTGGCTGGCAATCTTGGTTTTGTTGAATGGTTATTGAACTTAAACTTTCTTAAAGTGTTTGTCCGACGTGGAGACCAAATCAAACGTTGGAGGAGATTAAGCCAAATGGTCCCAATGGAAAAACATGTTATGGCAACCTGTCTGCGCTGCCAAGTGAACATATGGAGGACTGTGGTGAGCCATATGCTTGGTGGTGGGCTGTTTGGTTTTATGGCCAACGCAAGGAAGGCACCACTAAACAGCCAAACGGACGTCCGCACATCGGCTTACATCGAATTGTGTACCGGAAATATTAGCTAACGCATTTCGTCTGGCATAAATATAAATTCAATGGAAGTTTGGCTGGCAGTGGCGAGCTTTTTGTGTTGAGCAGTTGATCTTTGATCGGTGGAAAATATGGTCCCGCGAATGTTTTGATTTTTATGATTTTATAATAATGTGAGAATAGAATATATAGAATAGAAAATATTTAAATAAAATAAAGAAATATTTTTTATTTGAAATTTGTATTTTTTTTTTGGTCCGAAAAAATAAACTTCAATGAAAACAAGTCTCAATAGGAAAATAAACTGCTAAAAATCAGTTTTAAAATATAAATTTAATGAGCAGCCTAAAACCCCACCACATTGTTTTGTTCATTAAATATTATTAAACTGATGCATAAAGTATACTTCAGTTATGGAAATAATGAAAACATTGCGGTATTATGAGTCATTTTTGGAAGCATAGAATTGCCAATATGAAATTTGAAAGATTCCAACATTTTATAACTGAAATCAGCTTATTGTAGTAAATTAGTTCAGTATTTAAATTTGAAAAGAGT